GTGAGGGGCTGCTGCCGGCACAGCTCTCCCCGAGCCCTCGGAGCTGTGGAGAAAAAGGGTTTGGTTCGTCCTGGAGCAGCTGCTGTGTGGAGGGCACGTCCTAAAGCACCGTTCCCTTAATCAGTGCCGTTCCTTAGAGCTTTTTTTTTTTTTAATATTCCTTTTTTTCCCTTTCTTCCATTATACATGGGTTTTGTTTCTAGCTAAGTGACAATTTAGAGGTGAGCCAATGACTGAATTTGGGAAATCAATACTTCTCTGAAACTGTTATCTATGGGCAAACAAAGGGCGGTCGTGTTGCCAGTAAATATATCCGATTATTTGAACGAGCTGCTCCTTGAGGAAAACCGAACAAAGTGAAATAGGATGACTCTTCAGGCAGAAAAACATGAATGAAAGTTGCAGGCTCCTCCTGGACGCTTTACTACATGGCTGGAGATTTATGAGTCATACAGTGAAGAGGGGAGTGTGTTTTTAGCCAAAACCTTTCCAGCAAAGTACAAGCGCTGGCAGTGATTGAAATCACAGTATTTAATTGAAGAGGGACGAATAAGTGTCAATAAAATAGAGTATTGTCAAAATGGGTTTTGTTTGGGCTCCCCCTCTTTAGTAGTCAAGAAAACTAAAGAGATCAGGGAGAATTTTGTTACAATAATGGCAAAAGAGAGATTAAGCGTAAGCAAAAACTAACAATTGTTACAGGCTCAGTGTGGATGATTTAGTAGTAGTTGCTGAAAGTGTCATAAAGGCAATACCTGTTTTTTAAATCTATTTAACAAAATGAGACAGATTTTGCTGTGTGAAGACAAATACTGTGTAGATTTCTTCTTTCTAAGGTCAGTAATGGTAGTTTGCATAACTGGCTGTTTGTAGGAGTCAAAGTATTACTTAAGGAAATCTTATAGATTGCTTAAATTTGGTTTAGGGGTACATGCTGTGACCCCCACAAACATTACAGTTCCCTGGTATTCCACAGGTTGGTTGGTCTGGTGATGGCCCTTAAATAATGGAAAGCTGACAGGTGACCCAATATTTATGGAATTAATAAGAATGGCTTTAGTTGCATCTTTGTGTTTGAAGCCACGTGTTCCTGTGAGGCCACTTTGGTGCCTTTCCTACACATTGTTCATTTTTCTTACTTACCAATTTCTGAACTACACTGAAAAAAATCTCACGAGGCAGTAAGTGAAAGCCTGAGTTTGGTAGCCTCATTTTGAGCATTTAGGTGTTAATCACAGCCACTAAAATACACACATTAGCTAATTCTAATGTTGAATGAATTCTGATTCTAAATTCTATGAATCTGAATAATACAGCCATTCCCTGTATGACTGCTTTGCATGTTGCTGATGCTTTGCTGCAAAATGTGAGCCATATAAATACCCTGAAATGTCTTGCTGTCATAGCAGTTGTACATCCAGCAAGGCTGTATAAGTGTAAAAGTAAATATGGGAACAAACTGTATTTAATGGCACCTCCATTGCTGCTGTTAAAGAGCAAGTTAGCAGGCATGAGAAATGCAGGTTAGCTTTTGTGATCTTCCATCAAGCCAGGAGCAATGTAAATGATTTCTGAGGACAGTTTTAGACCTGTATCCTACAGGGTTTTTTAATCTCCACTTGCAATAGCCCTGCATAGTGCAAGATATGATTCTTTTAACTTCCTGAAGGAGCAGTGTTGTCTGTAAAGCACTGGAAAGAGTTTATATATGGTCTTCATTAGAGGGAGCTTGCAGTACTTCTTTCCACATCTGTCATCCTTTGTATTTTTACTGTGTCTGTCTCTGGTTTTGGTCATGAAGTTTGTTATTTGAATAACTGCAAGTGGAAAGTAACTTTGTAAAACTCTGTTGTTTCTGTAGCTTACTGTTTGAGCTTTCAGTAATATGAAAACAGTGGAAAAGATAATGCAGAGCCTGACAATCCAGAGAAGAAGGGGATTTAAATCCTAATAACTAGCCTGTGCTAGTGGAATGCTTACCAGTGGAGTCACACTGGAATCTGTCAGGCAATGTTTATTATGTTGGAGGATGACCTGCTTTACAAAATTAATCATTGGCTGTTCTCAGAGTGTGTGGAAAAGTAGTTCATGACTTGCACAGCTTTCTGAATACTTCTCACCACTGTAAGCACAACTCCAGAGAGGACAGCCAACTAATTTTCACACTCAGCATTTATTTCATGAGAATGCAACGTGTAACAGACTGGTCAGTATTTTTCACTGTTTATTTCTCAATTTTTATATTTGTAGTTGCTGCTGTTTAAATCGAAGACTAAATCAGCTATCAAACCATGACCCATTGTGGAAAAGACACTGCAAGAAATACTGGCTTATTTCAGAGTAAGTGTGATTGCTTATGTTCTTGTGCTGCCTGTTTACATCCACATTACTCCTAGTAACTCTTGAGGTTGAATTGGTTCTCACCAGCTTCAAACTGATGAAAGGTTAGAGGTATCAAAAATGGGAATTTTCTAAAAAGGCTTCATGCAAATGTCAAAATTTTAGGGACAGGTAGAGAAGAGGTTTCCTGTTCATTAATGCCTGGGCTGATGATTGCTTTAAGCCTTTTTTTCTATGAAAATAAGGCTTATGTTCTTGTGCTGCCTGTTTACGTCCACATTACTCCTAGTAACTCTTGAGGTTGAATTGGTTCTCACCAGCTTCAAACTGATGAAAGGTTAGAGGTATCAAAAATGGGAATTTTCTAAAAAGGCTTCATGCAAATGTCAAAATTTTAGGGACAGGTAGAGAAGAGGTTTCCTGTTCATTAATGCCTGGGCTGAAGGGCAGCTTGACCTTATCAGGCACTAGATATTCTGTGGAAGAAAGTAATATTCTGAGTACTTCTCAGATTAAATTTAATCTACTGTTTCCCCCCTCAACTCTTTTCAAGAAGTAAGGTTCTTCTCTCTTTTGTAGAGCTAGAGAGATCTTCAAGGTGCTGTGAAGACTTATTAATTGTGACATTTTTATTTAGGTGTATGAAGCTGTACTAAGTCTTTTAGATTCAGCATGCTGGTTGGAGTGTGAGGAGTTGGAATATTTCCTAACCCAAAGATGCAAGGGCTGCAACAATTTGGAGGCAAGCATCCTTTGTCAGCTGTTAGTCAGCAGTTTTTGGCAGCCTGTGTTCCCATAGTCTGCTGTTGTGAGGAGAACTGAATATGCAGTAATTCCTTAAACTGACTTTCCAGAGCAGCTCCCAGAGCTCTCATTTAACTCTCTCTGAGGTTTGCTTCTTAACCTTTCTTACTGGGTAAATAGAGGAGTTTGTGATTAATGCAGTAGATCAAAAAACATGTGGTGTTTGTTTTATTTCCCCACACTTTGCTGTGTGTATGTGAAATGTGATGTGAATTAGCTATTCACCAGATCTAAGATTTAATGATCGATTAAACACTCTGTTTAAAGGAATTCTGTGTCTAAGTTTTCCTCTGATATTAAGTACCCCGAATGTTTCTTAATTACTTTCCAAAGGCTTTTGAATAGATGCTGGAATTGACTGAGTTTGTGTAGCTTCATGTGGCTCAGAGTGTTCCTGGCTTCATGTTATGAGGAGCGTTCCTGCCAAATAACAAAAATTAACTTCTTGGCTTTAGGAGTCGAGCTTTTTAGGCTGGTGCTTCAACTTCTTTTCTTAATTTTCACCTAGAGAGGAGAAGAGCCGCCGAAATCAGAGCTGGAAAGCCATCTTCATCAGCACCTACTCTGACCTGGGGAGGTACATCCGCTACTACGCCACCCTGAAGAAAGCCTGGGATGACCTGGAGAGGTACCTGGGGCAGCGGTGTCCGCGGATGATCGGCTCTCTGAAAGGTATGGGGCAGCACCTCCCTCTGGAGGCTGCCTGACCTGCCACCTCTGCTCTTCCCATAATTGCCAGAGTCCTCAAAGTCAAGTAGCTGTGCTTGGCTTTCCCTCCAGTGAACAAGGGAACTGGGCCACGTGCATAGTCCTTGCCCAGTTACCAGTAATCCACAGAGTCTCTGGAGATTTATTTCCAGAAAACAAATAGATTATTTTTTTTTCCTAGTGCCTAGTCTGTCTTTTGCATCTCTGGGTACAGAAAATACATTTACTGCTTTCTGTCTTTGGTTGCTGTGACTGATTCTTTTTATTTATTACTATTTTTCAGTTTAATAATCCCATTACTTCACACACCTGTGACCGGCTGGTGTGATTTTATTTATGATATTTTCTTAAGACCTCATTAAGTCTTCCACATGAAAACAGACATTTTAAATCTAAACAAAAAGAAAGCTTCTTTGTTTTTTCCTTCTTCTGTAGATCTTACTGTGCTCCTCCAAAGCAGGTAAATTAGTGGTTGAACAAGAATATTTACTGGGTTTTTTCTGCCACCCCCAAAATTCTGTTTTCAAATAAAGTTTGTGCTTTAGTACTTGAAGTGCTCACAGTGTTCTGGTTTGTAACTCTTCCCAGCAAGACATGCAGCAAGTCTGGGCTTTTCTGATATCTGGACTAAAGAGCTTTTCTGTTTTCATCTGTGTTTCAGTTTTCTGTATGAAATTGACTGTTGGGACCCAGATGTTTGGTTTAACATGATCTGTGAAATTAAAAGAAATCTACAGATGATGATCTCTTTCCTACGTAAATCTTTGCATGTTTCTTAGCTTGCTGGCTAGTGCCAGATTCTGAACTTTTGCTCAGTATTATTCATATTATTGTGAATAACAGAACATGGTTAGAACATAATACTCAATTTAAAAGAATAAATTGATGTTTTGTTACTTCTGAATGTTAGTGAAGGAATGGCTTTTTAGGAAAAGGCCAAAGGGGTGATTGTAGCCTGAACTCTTCTGTAACACAGGCCCTCAAGCTTGATGTAGATATGCATGCCTTAATTTTTGTAACTTCCATGCTGCTCTGTTGAAAACACAACTTCACTTGGCTATAGAAAATGACTGAATAGTCCATCAAATGTTTTGTTAAGAAAATGGAAATTAGCTGTGTTGGAGATGTTGAAATGAACATATTTTATCTCAGTTTTACTTTCAAAATACTCTCAGAGAATCTGGTGCAATGAAACTTCTCTTTGTCTACAGAAAGACAAAAATAAATTGAAAGTTCATCAATATCCACATGTATGGTGATAGCAGGTTTTAGCAGGAGTGCTTCCATAACTTAAACCTTTTATGTACCATTTGTACAGGCTCTTATTTCAGTGAATTGTTAAATTATGCCGTATAAATGAAACAGATAATGGATGTTAAAAGGATTTATAAAAAAATCACCCCCAAAGCCTTGATTTGGGCTGCCCACACAAGCCACCCAGAGCATCTTTGCTAGAATTGAGAGTGTGGAAACCCCCTGAAGTGTGTGTGGAGGTGTAAGAGTAGTTACTCCCCTCCCATTCCTGTTGATGATGGTATGAAAATCCCCCTGTTACAACCCGTTTATTGCTTCAGGTTCCATGTTGGCAGGAGCCAACTTTTTTTTTGTTACTGGTTGGACTGGAAGCTGAAAGAGGCAACCCTTAGAATGATGAAAGAGTAAAGTCAATATTGCCTAAAAGTTCTAACTGAACTTTTTCAGACTTGATTGGATCATGTCAATATTGTGGGGAAAAGGTTCATTTCACTTCTATACATAGCTTTTGCTTAAGTCAGGCCAGAGATTTCACTGGGTGGAGATTGGGGCTGTATTAAGTGATCAGTTAATATAATCCCCCAGTTATTGTAATCCCTAGTTGATTTTTAGTAATTGTGGCCACTAGCATGAATTTAATCAGTGGAAGATTCTTGAGACCATGCTAATAAACTGCTGCATCCTAAAGCTGAACTGAATTTTTCTTGCTTTCGTATGTCTGTAAGGTCACCTTTTCTGAATTCCATGGCAAAACACTTTATTCCTCATTATCCTTTGGTCATAGCATTATGATTTTTTTTTTTTTTATGTTAATGTTGCTGAGGCTACTTAAAATTCTCATTGGCAGTTGAAAACATGCTTTTGTCTTGAATGTAGCCTTTTTGATTTTTTTTTCCTTCTTTGCAGCCATGCAGCTGTAATGAAATGATGTGAAATAAAATCTAAAAGGAGAGGTGTTAACACAGACAGCAACGCTCAGCTTTGTCAGGAGCAACATCCTGGGCTCTTAGGGTCAGAGCAAGGAGGAAGCATTACATTTGAGAGTTTTGTAGAAGCAGCAGTTCTGGATGTCCCCCTTCCAGAGCTGCCACTAAAGACTCTTGTTTCTTTTTGTCCCCAGAGAGTGTCCGGGAGGAGGATCTGGATGCTGTGGAAGAACAGATAGGTTGCAAACTCCCTGATGACTATCGCTGTTCGTTTCGGATCCATAATGGACAGAAGCTGGTTGTTCCTGGGTAAGGAGGGAAAACATCATACCCAGCTGTTGCAGCCTTTTGTTCTTCTTGGGTACTTTATTTATTGGAAAGATGAAATGTCTGTTGAGCAGGATGAGTGAAGCATTTAAAGGTTTTGTAACCGAGTGACTGCCTGAAGTGACACCTCTAGAACTGGCATTCTTCTAGTTCAAGAAGTAATTGAAAACACAGCATAGATTTCTAATTGTTCAAATTACTCCTGCACCTCAGTCCTTTTTCCTAGTGAGAACCATGTATGGGGGTTTTCTTTGTAATAGGTAAAGTTTCCAGCTGTTAAGAATTTTAATGGTACCACTGTAAGTTGCTCCCCTGAAGTTTTGCCTTGCATTATGTGGGTAAATTAGCCTCTTGCACTCTTCAGGCTTCATTATTTGATAACTATTTTTCTTTAAAATGGTTAGGGAATAACTTTCAAATCAGGTAGTCATCTTAAGAAGAATCAAAATGTCAGTTTGCAAATTAAATTTTCTCAATAGAAGATTTGACAATTTTATGTGGTTTCAGCAGTTAAAAACTCCTTTTACATTGAGGTTAGAAGGCAAATCACCAAACACTTTCCTGTCTTCCAGCTATAGAAAAGTTTGCAGGTCAGCTCCTGAAGCACCACAAATGTTATCAAAAGATGGAAGGCTACAGGAAATCATTGCAGTGCCTGTGGGGCAGTGCATTCATGCTGCCCTGCCAAACTCTTCACTAGTAAAGTGCAGCTTTCTCCCATTCTAGTGTTGTCTGTGCAGAAGGAATATGGGAAACCAGTTTTAAGCAACCATAAGGGTGACTTCTGTTTCTTTTCCTGGAGACACTTTTTGGTTTTTTTTAGAGAGGAGATAGGTGCCCTATTTCTGTAGACTTCAAGTGGAGCTCTGCACCTTGTGTGCTTCCTGCTCTTCTTACTACCTTTCTACTCCCACGAAGCCTCTGCTGTGGTGATGTGCCTGTGGGAAGGCTGCAGGAGCAGAGGTGTGGACGTGCCTTTCAGCTTCAGCAACTGCCAGCAGGCTCTGGCCCGTTGGGGTGCCCCCAAAGCAAAGGCCTGAGCCTTACACACATGGACATACCTTGCTGGTGGAGTGCTGACTGGGGGACTAATTAGATCTGACACGTGGGATCACTGTGAGTGGAAGGTGTGGGCTTATTGTTGGGGGCAGTTGCTTTCTTCTGAGAGTTGACCACTGGAGAGATCAGGTGTAGGCAGCAGAAGTCTACACAGCAAGTTGTTGGCATGTTAGATTGGAAATGGAGGAGACTGAGGATGAGTTGTCATTGTCAGGTGCTCCAGGTTTCTGTGTTTGTGTGTGAGCACTGCTTTTTGAACAGGAGAACATGCTAATTCCAGGCAAGCCTAGGTAAGGAGAAAGCAATGGAACCTGTTGCCCAGGCTGGGAGCAGGTTGTCTCACGCTGGCGTGCTGCAGCTTGTGCCTGAGTCACTGCTTTCCTAGCACCAGTGAGAGGGTAGTGTCTGCAGGGGTTCTCAGCTGAGCGTGCCAGGGAAAGGCAAGTAAGGAGGGAGGTGTGTGCTGCAGGTTTTGGGTACTCCTGTTGTTGCTGCGTGCTCTGCCCTAGTGTGTGCCCTTGTAGCTGATGAGTTTGATCCTGTTACCCATTGTTACTGTCCTGCCACGGTCTGACCCTTTATTACACTGAGTCTGGGTTGCTTGGGGTTTTTTCTTTTCCCCGTAGCTCTTGTCTAGCCCAACATTCCCACCAATATTTCCTTCCCATGCTCACCTCCCTTCCTCATCTGTCACATATTTCAGGTGGGCACTGCTCTTTTCCCAAAGGTCTATTGTCAAAAACAAATTAAAAAATCCCATCCTTTGCTGGGCTGCCTACAAAAAGCTGGAGGAAAAAGTCAAAGACAGATGATGCTCTTGCCATGTGATGCTGATGAAGGGTGTCTCATTCTTTCTTTAGATGTCTGTTTAATTATCTGTATGCCTCAGTTATTATTCTGAGATTCAAATGTCTCTGATTCAATGGTTATTTTGCTTGTTTGCTGTGATGGTAGACTCGGACTTGATTAAATCTAATATGCCTCTAAAGAATTGATAGTATCAATGCTCAGAAGAGATGTAAAGATGTCTTGGCCATGTGAGTGATGTCTCCTGATTCTTTTCCCTCTCTTTGTTGCTGCCTGTCCAGTTTGATGGGAAGCATGGCTCTGTCGAACCACTACCGCTCTGAAGACTTGCTGGATATCGACACAGCAGCTGGGGGTTTCCAGCAGAGGCTGGGTCTGAAGCAGTGCCTCCCCCTGACCTTCTGCATTCACACTGGCCTCAGCCAGTACATGGCCCTGGAGAGCGTGGAGGGACGAAATAAATACGAGATCTTCTACCAATGTCCAGTAAGGAGCACATGTTTGTACTTGTGAATGTCCTTTTCTGATCATTAGTGGTGCCCCTTTGCATGTTAGGAGATACCTAAAATATTTTACATAGCAGAAGGTGAATACTAAGAGATCATATTTGTTTGTTACTTGCCCTTGAGTTGCCATCTCGTTTTCATCAAAGCCCCGGAGAGGAATAGTGAGTGAGTGAAAGGAATTTGCATGAAGCTGTTAATGGCTGTAGCAGTTCCTGCAGCTTCAAGATGGTGGACAACATTAATTCTTATTGGAAGGTGTTAATTGAATTTGTTCAAACTATAGCAGGTATATACTTTTGTCCCTGTTTCTGTAAGGAAGAAAATTTCTCCCTTATGGAGTATCAGCATCTGTAGATATCTCCTCCCCAAGATATGCTAAATGTCAGCTTACTACAATAAATCATACCCCCTGGTTTGTAAGCAAAGCTTACTCTTCAGTGAAAGAACAAATTGCTTTTGAACAGCTCCTCTGCAGAATGTAATTGAGTATTTTTCCTAATTCTTATAGCTGTAGTATTTTAAGGTAGGTACATTGCTGCTAGTGAAGCTTAAGGATGTTTTACCTAAGAAGACTTTAGCCTCTCTCTCCTTACCCATGACCGAATGACTTCCCCTCACCCCTCAAAAAAGAAAGTGGGGTGAATAAAGAGTGTTTGTTGTAAAAACAGTGAGGATCTTCATCTTTCTGTGGAGTTCCTGGCAGATTGTTTTCAAAGCATGTAGCAGTGAGGTTTTTGGAGAATGCCTCAGTAATGGGTCACTTGAAGGATGTTACCATCCCACCTTGTGTTGTGCCAGGTATTCAAACCTTTTGGATGGTGCTTGGGAGCTTTTATATGTTTGAATACCTGACAGGGTGTATAACAACATATTAAGCAGCCAGATTTTAGATTTAGTAAATACAGAGGAAGTGTTCCCCATGTTGTATTTCAGGGGTTGAATTTTAACCTTTAACCTTCTAATACATCCACAAACTTCTTTCCCTTTTAGGACCAAATGGCTCGAAATCCATCTGCTATCGATATGTTCATCACAGGTAACACTGCAGATAAAGTATTCTGCAGAATGCTTTAATTCCACTATTTAGTAAATGCACATCAGAAAGACTTGAACAAAGCAAGCTTTCTAAGTTCTCTGTGCTACTTCTAAGACTCTAAAACATCCGTGGCTACTTGAAATGAGATGCAAGTTCTTTCTATTAAAGCTTGTCCTTCTGCGTGGCTTGTATACAAATCACTCACTGTAGTAACCTGTCTGACAAGGTGAGCTGAACCTTTGAGTTGGCCATCCTGGAGGTAATGTAAACAGTTATTAAATACAACACCCAAGTGGATAGATTTTTTTTTTCTTTTCCTCAGTAGGTTTTGCAGCTGTTTTAGAAGTTGAAGTATTTTGTATCCCTTAATGACATCTAATTAACTACAAACTGCAGAAGAAAATGTTCCTGGATTTGTAATTTACCTTTGATTGCTTTGTTCAAAGGGTAAAGGAGGGAAGGGGAAGACTGTAATTGTTGTTAGGTTATGTAGTAATCTGTTGTGATCATTTGTCTGACATATATTGACAGGAATAGTGTTTTCATTATTTCTTTTTGTTAATCCACTGGAATCTGGTAATGATGGCTATATCTAAAATTCCTTTCAGTGGGAGAGCAGATGTGTAATATATGGCACCAAAATCAATATCCAAATTTAGCCTTATACATTTCTGAGGATATTTGTGTTAATACAAACACATCAGGCAATGCTGGTTTGGGTTGAAGATAGTCAGGCTCTTAGCCACTCTTAATTTAGGAAACCTTTCTATGTGCTGATTGATTTTTATGAACTGATTTAGATGTGAAGTAGTCAACCTGTCATCCCTTTTACAAAAGTCTTCTTGCAGAATGCATTGTGAGCTTTAGAACCAGCAGAGGAAAGATGTAGCAAAAGCTCAGGAGTTTGGTGACTTGCTTCTCTCCACCTGAGGATGATGTAATACTTTAAAGCTACTCTGTGGTGAATTGGTGTTGCTGCTTTTATGGAATTGAGTCAATGGTGAGGTGATCTGACATCATATTTAAATGCATTCCCCTTGGCTTATTGCAGGGTGGAGGGGAGGTTTCATCTCCATTTATCTTGTCATTTTGAAGGGGGCAGGGTAAATTGGTCCATTTTCTCCTTTCAGAGGTACTTTACACAAGGTTTGCATGTTGTTGATTAGTGATAGAAAGGAGGATAGAAGCTTGGAGTTGCTTAGAATTCAAAAGATGAAAGGGCAGTACACACAGCTCTTGCTCAAAGGAAGCTGTGGCAAGTATGCTTAATCTAGCAGGAGTGGTAGTGCTTGGTGACACCTCAGTGAAGATGAGGGTAATGAGTTCTTACTATTTCAGCTTAAATCCAGTTTTCTCTCAGTAATATTGACAAATACTTGGACTCTGTCCTTTTCTGTTGAACTCTGTTGCAACGCTTAGAAGATCATGGCTGAGAAGTCACTTTATGGAGAGCCAGTATGTCTCACATGAAACTCTCTTCTTTGAGAGCTAAATGTGACAGCTTGACTGTCTGCTTGGAAATCAAGCTGTTCCTAAATAATGGCTGTAGGTGTATGAAAAGCTGCTCTCAGACAATGGCTTTAAGTGTATGAAAGTTGCAGGTTCTTCACAGTGACATACAGCCTCAGTCTTCTGGGTTTGGAGCAGGAGTGAAGAATATGTCTGACTTAACCCCATTTTTATGGAGACAGAAATAAATTTTGCAGCTTGCTAGCATGTTTCTTGGGAACTCTACTCGTGCAGAAATCTGGATATCAAAACTCAGTCCAGAAGTCCCCCCACAGGCAGGAAGAATAGCTGGAAATAGCTGTAGGAGTGGTATAGGCCACTGTACTTGTCTTTCCCACTTGCAGCAGAACAGTCATGAGCAGGGAACTAGATGGTGAGAGACACCAGCATTTGAAGACCAGGATTATAATGGGCAATACTCAGCCAAGAGATTCTTTGTTTGCTGTCTCACTTCTGGAGTACACACCCTTAACTCTTAGTCCTTGGTTGGTTTCTCCAAGTGATCTTTGTTGGTAGAATGGACTGGAGTATTGAGTGACTCATCTAAGTCTGAGAGCTTATTATAAAAATATTCAAAGCTTTAAACTTTTTCCTTGAGGTATTTATTTTCATGTCCTTAGTGGTAAGGTTGCCTGTCCTTATGAATGCTTTCCTTCTTTGGCATCCAGGTACATCTTACTTGGAGTGGTTTACATCCTATGTGAACGAAGTTGTGACTGGTGGTTACCCTATCATCAGAGACCAGATTTTCAGGTATTGGGGCTGGGATTTGTAAACTCACTGCAAGGTTTTGATGCTTCTTCTACAACACTGACCTCTTTCCAAGTAGTTACAAGTATAGGATGCAAAAGTTGATGGTGGAGAGAGGAGAAAACGCATGAAACGCATGAAACTCATTGAAGATAAAGATGTAAAACAGAATGCTTAAAGAAACAAATTTAATTTATTTTATTTTATTTTTTTTACCAGAAGCATCAGAGTTTGTAACTTGGCATTACTGGGACAAGAATTTTGCCTTATAACTGACCTGAAGTTTAGCTAATAGCATAATATTTTTCTGTTTGTCACGAGTGTGCTGCTACTGCAGGACTCTTCTGGGGTGTTCAAAAAGCCATTTCAACAAACTGGTCTCCAAAATAACACTGCTGAGTATGTAAATAAGCAGGACCTTCCTGGTGTCTGAATCTTCATGCACTATTTGGTTCTGCTAATTAAAAGCAAGAACCTTAATTCTGTCCAATTGAGATGCTGTAGAACCAAGTTCCTGATCTGTCAATTTTTTTGCTGTAGGAATTGCTAGATTTTGTTTGTTAAATAGCAGAATGACAAATCTTTATTAATCTTCATTGACTTCAGATCAAATTATACACCCAGCTTAATAGGAGCATTAATGGAGGTACAAATAGACCTGCAGTTCAGGTGATGGGGACATGCACATCATGAAGACACTGTATACATTCTGTAATTGCCAAGTGACAAGAAATGCTTCTAACCTAGCACCACAGTGCTCTCATTAGTAATTAACTAATCTCTTCATGTGCTTAGCTTTCTGTATTGAATGTACAGAGCTATTTGCAGAGTTCATGTTTTCCTTTCTGTAGGTATGTCCATGATAAGGAATGTGTTGCTACCACAGGAGATATTACTGTGTCTGTGTCCACATCCTTTCTGCCTGAACTCAGTTCTGTGCACCCACCACACTATTTCTTCACTTACAGAATCAGGTGAGATGGACTGAGTCTGACAACACAGAACAGACTTGTGTAATGTTCAAAGTTGTTGCCAGTTTATGCACAGCTTTCATAAATGTGCTAAAATAGAGGTGCATGGCATGCTGTATGTAAGAAAAAAGCTGGTTCATTGTCTGGTCAAGTACACCAGCACCAGTCAAGCAGGGAATTGGTGAAGTCCAGTGATGGGTGGAGGGAAGAAGTTATGAGCAGCTCTTGTGATTCAGGAAGGGGTAAAGAACAACAGAGTATATTATACCTTAGCTGGGCTTTTTCACAGTCTCCATGGAGAGACATCCCAAGGCTACTAAAGCATTTCTTGAAATGAAAGCAGTTCTCATGACCATTAAGTGTGCTGTTTGGCTTCTAGGATTGAAATGTCCAAAGATGCCCTTCCTGAGAAGGCCTGTCAGCTGGACAGCAGGTACTGGAGGATAACCAACGCCAAAGGGGACGTAGACGAAGTTCAGGGTCCTGGAGTGGTTGGTGAGTAAAAGATGCTTTTATGACTGCAAGAGAGGGAGTGGGTTTGTATTTAATGTACATATTACAAAAGGAAAATTTTCTTGCCCTGGAGGGTTGTCCAGGCCTGCCCCAGGCTGCCCAGGGCAGTGGTGGAGTCCCCACCCCTGGAGGGGTTTCCAAGCCGTGGAGATGTGGGGTGAGGGACACGGGGCAGTGGGGACCTGGCAGAGCTGGGGAAGGGTTGGACTCAGTTTTAAAGGTCTTTTGCAACCACAATTATTCTGTGATTCTATGGTGACAGAGGGTAGTAGTTTTATAGTTTGTATCAAAATAATTCTGCTGCTGGAAAGAAGGAGATCTGTATCCATCTGTTCTGCCCTTAAAGCTGTTCTGCAAACGGTGTCTGAACATCCTGCTAGTTAACTGCTCTTCAAGCAGTGCTTAACATCAGTAATTGCTGAGGATCATTTATGCATCCACTGGAATATGAAATGATCTGCCTGAATATGTTGTGGAGTGCAAGGGCTTTAGCACACTGCTGAATTGTACTTCTGCTTCAGTCCTTACTGTTGTAATATTTTACCAACAGGGGAGTTTCCAATTATCAGTCCAGGGAGAGTGTATGAGTACACCAGCTGTACCACATTTTCCACAACGTCTGGATACATGGAGGGGTATTACACCTTCCACTGCCTCTACTACAAGGACAAATTCTTCAACGTCACAATTCCCAGATTTTATATGGTGTGTCCAGCTTTTAAGGTGAATTGTAGTTCTGCTTCAGTCCTTACTGTTGTGATGTAATATTTTACCAACAGGAGAGTTTCCAATTATCAGTCCAGGGAGAGTGTATGAGTACACCAGCTGTACCACATTTTCCACAACGTCTGGATACATGGAGGGGTATTACACCTTCCACTGCCTCTACTACAAGGACAAATTCTTCAACGTCACAATTCCCAGATTTTATATGGTGTGTCCAGCTTTTAAGGTGTCTACAGCACGCATGGTAAGTACAGCTGCAGTTGTGCTGTCCTGGGTTTATTTGTATTTCTATGACCTCCCGTTTTCAGAGAAGACTTGAATTCTTTTTAACAGGACAGTGTAGCTGTGTGTTTAAACTTCAGTGATGTGTCATTTTTCAGTTTTGATCCTTCTCTTCACAATTACTCTTTTTTCCAGAACCATTTCTCAGTGAAAACAACAAAAAAAAAATCTAAAAGTATCACTCAATCTACATGAATTCTTTTCAGCCTTTGCTCTCAGCAGAGGCAGAATGTGACCATGCTGTAGGACTCTGAACAGAATAGCACATCTACTTTTTTCAGCAAGAGAGGTTTCAGTTAATGACAGTTTTAAAAAGAAAGCACTCGTGTGATGTTCCTTAGTTCTCACTGAATGTGCCTTCTGTAAAGCCACTTAATGACTTGACAAATCAATAAGATACTTAGCTTAATATTAATTACTCTGGATTTCAGTTTGGAGATTATTTATAGAGTTCACCTGCAATGTATCCCTTTGCTTTGGCACGTTTGGAGAAGAATGCTTTATTTATTTTATCATTTGCAAAGCCCTCGTTAGGTGACAAATTCACATAGAACTTGAGAGTTTTTGTGGAAGCACTGAGTCTTGCCCCAAGGTGGGAGATGTTTTCCAGGGGTCTGAGACACTCTCATTATCAGTAACTCCAACAGTGGGTGCCAGCAGATGTCACACTTTGAACAGAAGATGGCAGCTCTTAACTCCTGCTCACATTCATGGGACTTGGCACCTGTTCAAGCTGACTGTAAAAATCATTTGGTTTTCTTCCTTTGCTCTATCTCTGATTTTAAAGGTAGTAATGATCCTTTAAGTTCTTTTATTAAAAAGACACCATGAAAACTGGATATTTGCTGAGTTAAAGGTCAAGTAGTTTGGCAAAATGATCTCTGTTGCAAACTGAGCTCGGTGAGGAGCTGGGTTCAGGGCACAGAATACAACATTTGCCTCAGCTAATGGAGATATTTTTTCAGGTAATTGTTAGTGCTTTCTTACTGTCTGGAACAGAAGATGTGAATTAAATTCGGGTGTGTGTTTGTGTTAGGAAACCAATCATAATGAGTATGCAGTGGATGAAGAGGAAGACTCCACGGACACGGATGACTACGAGGAGCGCCGCCGGGTGTTGGACATCCCTGCGCCGGCGGGACGCTGCCCACGGCACACCTGATGGGCTGAGCTGCTTCCTAAAGCAAAAGGAACTGTTGGCAGCAGCTGAACTCTTCAGGGCTAGTGCATAAGAGTATTTCTGACTTGTAAATGAACTTCCTGTTGCACATCAGGGCAACTCGCATGAATGTCGGTGCCGGTTCTGCTATTCATCAGAGGATAAGTTGGGTGTTTTTCCTGGTTTGGAAGTGGGGAGGGGTTTTGGGGGTGGAGGGAGGTCAGGGAGGGAGGGGAGAGGGAGGAGGAAGGTGTTTGGGTTTTGTTCACTTTTTTTCTGAAGTGTGAAACAGGTTGCTAGTTGGAGGTAATGGTATCTGGCATTTTTTAAACTATTGCCTATTTATGATCATCTTGCAGATGTGGTGTGGGGGTTTGGTTTCATACGAGCATTTAAAATTAGCAATAGACAAGATGGCACAAAAAGGTGTATTCTGGTGTCCTTTCTCAGGAGTTTCTACTCTTGGTAACTCCTAAGAATGAACCGTGCAGATGGGTCCATTTCAGTGAGATCAGGTGCTCTTACAGGTCTGGGTTTTTTTGATTAACCTGCAAAATTCTGCTCATCAGGTGTGTGAATTAGGAATGAAGCTGGCCTTATTTTTAGACAATCTGTCTTTCAGCTTAATTTTATGCTAAGTGACTCTGATTGGATAATGCCTTTTGGAATGTCGTGCACACACATAATCTGCCACTCAGTAACTAAGGAATTTCCTAGTGACTACAAATAACCAATTTGTAAATACATTTTGAGTTTTTTTTCTTTATATGATGTTTGCTGTTCAGATTTTGTCATAGGTGACAATTTATGTTGAAGTATCATGTTTCCCTCAATCATCTATGGGTTTTTTGTAACTACACCTGAATAAAAAAAGAAGAAAAAAAAAAAAAAGGGAGCCTGCAGAACACCAGATGACTAGAAACTTTATTTAAAGAAGTCTCTGCTTTATCACTTTTGTTTCCATTGTCATTAATAAACAACTGCCTCCTTTGCTCTGAAGTGCTACAGGGGACTCTTCTTGCCCAGACCTGTGTGATGGGGATTTCTGCAGCCAGTTTCTCCCCCTGACATCCAGGATGAGTAGCTCCAATGAGGAAAACCAGGATATTGTACCAGCTGGATGTTTCTGTTGCTGGCTAGTTACTGCTCATACAGAAAGCCTGGAGTTTTTTACAAGTCATAGTGTTAGATTCTCCATGTGCTTATCTTCCTCTAATGCCACACAGCATTTGGATCTTCCAGAGTGGTGCAAGGTAGAAAAACATGAAGCATGACCCCTGCAATAGCATAGGTGAAACGTTTAGAGAAGCAAAAAGCTTTTGTGTTGTCCCTCACAGAAGTTTCAAGAGAATGTCAGTCACTGGAGTGGTTTAAAACTGGCCTTTCTGAGGACTCCTCAGTATTAACTGTGAGGGGAAAATATGGTGTTTGTGGCTTAAGCCTTTTCTTTTTCCACAGGAATTTCATCATCTGTTGAAAGGATCAGTGAAAAAGGGGCTTAGTGGAAGTAGAATTTACTCCACAGCTCCAAGTCTGCTGTGTGTTTTTGAGGACAGATAACTGGTGGCCAGAAGCTTGCTGGGTGCTGTGCCAGGAGCTGTATATTCCAGTTAACTGAGACCAGCTGATGGCCTTAAGGCTCTACAGACACCCTCTTGACTCTTGGCCCTTTGTCTCTTCTCAGGGGGTGGTTCTGTGGGTTGGTTCAGAGGAACTCTGAACTCTCTTCCAACCTGAAGGATTCTATGACTCTGATTTGTGCTTGCTGGAGGGGAAGCCAAGCTGCAGGGCAGTGCTGTCAGCTGCTGAGCTGGGCTGTGAGGCCTGACCCAGGCACAGCTGGTGGCTGCAGGAACTCCTGTGACCAGGCAGTGTCTAACAGGAAAAGGTAATTCCATTGCTGCAGGCAGCTATTCTAGCATGTGGCACGTTGCCTGGAGTGACCAAGTGCAGCCTTGTTGTTTGTTGTGTGACTTCGTTGTGTGTGGAGGGTTTCTGCCAGTGCTTCTCACTCCACCCAAAACTGGAGCTTGTGCCAGGTTGGTGTGAAAAGTGAAGGGGCTGTCACTGCTGAAGAAAAGGAGGGATCAGTTCTACCTGCCAGCACTGCTGGGGAAGCATTTCACCTTCTGTCAAGGTGAAATGGTACAGCCAGCCTTGTTGGACACCTATGAATTCAGCCCATGGTTACAAACCTGTCACATCCAAAGCAAATCTAGTCCTTTTTTTGGTCTGTGAAATATCCTACACTGATAGTCTTGTCAAAACTGAGCTGTAAGATCCCTTCAGCATTTTTTGTGGGCTTCTGCTGACCGGATGGTTGAACAAAGAGAACCTTTGGCCACGATTTCCTTGCTGTGACTGCCTCGTGTAGGAAAAAAACAAGTGCTGTGCCAGCCAGTGGGGGGGGGGGAAATCCAGCCCAAAAGTTGTGCAAGTTATTCCAGTGCTGGATATTTTTCCCCCGTCACTGTTTAATTTCTCATCATCTATGTGAAGAATGGAAGGTGGAAAATTCAGGCCAAGTTGGAAATAGCATTTATGTGTGAAGATAGAGATAAGTGTGTCCTCTGCAGGAGGGACTGTTCCCAGATTTTGGGAAGGGAAAACATAAATGCTCAGCTCTGGCTGAAGTTAAGCTCAGCTCTGGCTGAAGTTAACCTTCCCCATTCCTCACTGCAAAAATTTTTAAGTGAATTAATAAAGGATTTTTAATATCAAGTCTTTATTGAGTGAATTCTCATTTAATAAGTTGCATACAATAACCTACGAGCATGTTACTCTTGCATCCCTTTTACTTATGGCTTAACCAGAGGTAAAAGCTTACAGATGTTTACAAGTTCTGATAATCAACTCCTGTACCACACCAACAGGCTCATGGAGGTCCCCAGGGGTTTACAGTTTCCTTTAGGTGTAACAGATAAACTGGCAGTTGGGTGGCAACAAGCCTAAGTCCAGAATACCCTTTAAAATACAACTGGTGTTTCCACTGACAGGCGTGTTCACTAGAGCCAGACCTCAGGTATTCTCCTCCCTAAATGGCATTGATTTAACTCTTAAGGTAACAAACCCCACTTTTAGTGTCCTCAGCTGCATCTCTGTTCCTCTCCTTCAGTGTGTTTCTGGGTTGTGAATGTCTAGGTCTCTGTTCAGTTACCTCGGGAGGGAACAGCCACTTTCTGTTCCTGGTTGTTTCCCTTCCTGTGTTCTAAAGTTCTTTGTAATTTTCCCTCTTTCTGTCTATTAATTCAGACCATTTATTTAACCACACAATGCATGACGGGCAGGGCCACATCCTGCCTTAGGAAGAAAGTGATGAGTATTTGCAGTCCAGCTAATCCCGTTTCCTTACTCCACTGCCCTATGGTCACCAGCTTGGGGGTTCGTCTCTTCTCCCAAGGGGAAAGCGACAGGATAAGAGGAAACGGCCTCAAGTTGCACGTGGAGTTGTGGTGTGAGGGACACGGGCAGCGCTGGGCGGGCGGGATGCTGCTCTGAACGGTCTGTTCCGCCCCGGCCGAGGCCGTGGCTCGGTGCCGCTGCGCACACCGCAGAGCCGCCTCCGCCGCCCGCTTCAG